GTTTCATGTGAGAGCCGCGTTGAGGGAATGTACAAACTAGCTTCTTTGCGACTTTTCTTTGCAATCTGCAGCGCTCACCCTAAGGGAGTTATTAAATTACGAGTTCTCACCTCCACTCGCGCCGCACACCGAGTGGCCAACCACCTCTGCCGCCCACCCAGGCGGCGCCTTCAGGGAAGGCCTCGACTCCCTCGCCCGCCCACGCCCTTTTACGGACCTCGGACCCACCCACGAGCAGGGGCGGCTTGAGGCTTGGGTTAGCGAGACGCCCGGGGGAAAAACGGCTGTATTGGACACGATGCTGCACACGTTCGGTGAGACCTCCGTTAATGAAGGAAGATGAATGAAGGGGATGATTGTACGAGAACCCACGCCAGGATTATCATCACTTGCTCCATGCTCATATATTTCGTCTTTTCATTGACTTCCAAGAAGTAATTGGTAGGTTGCGTATTCCCCCCATTCCATCCTTAGTTCGGATGGAAGGATGCTTTCAAGCGCCCCTCCGCGAGGCCCCACGGCGGCCTTTTCCAGTGCCTGCGCGAGCATAAGTCACCGTTCCTGATCGCTGCTCTTGAGCGAGGCGCAGAGGCCTCCCTCCCTCGTGGCCGGTCGAACCCCACAGCATCTGCAACAAACACTAAACCAAAGACGCCGCTTAAGGGGCGAGAAGGGAAGAAAGACATGACCACAGGAATTTTAATAGCCTATGCTTCTTTACTTGATATCTTTATGGCGAAAGATGCATCCTGGCAGCTTTTCTCAACCACGCAGCATAGGTGCATGTAGTTGCATGGCAACTTCGTTTTGCAGATATTATCAAGAGCCACGCTCCGAAGACCTAAGTGCATCACCTAATTGAATGGCTCCTGCTACCTGCCGCAGCTACGATCTTCAGCTGGAGGCGGCTCGCATAAGGAGAACATCACGAAGTGCTGACCGATCCACAGAACGCCTCTGGATGAGCTTAAGGAATGGAGGAGACTGATTGGGATGGAGAGAGTTGTGTTTGGGTGTGCGCATGCGTTCATGCATGTCCGTCAGCTTGTATGCCAATGTATATACATGTATACATGTATACACATGTATATACATGTGTATATACAATGTATACATTGTATATATACATGTATACATATGAGTACATGTATATCTCGCTGGCTAAGAACTTACTTTCCCGTTCAACTTCCCCGGCGCCGTGTGGTTGGGAACAAGTGTGAGAAGGAGTCGTGTGAATCAGCGAATTGCATAATGATAAGACAAAGAAAGGCGAATGATGAAACGGACCGGAGGAGCGGTCCTGAGGGCGAAAGAAGGAACGATAAAATGGCACGAAGGAGTGGTCGCGAGAATGGGCGAAGGAGTGAGTGAGGGAGGGATGGAGGGAGGGTATGAGCATGCGGAGGGAAGGGCATGTGTGCGTCAGTGTGTGTCTTCTCCATTCATGATCCCATTGTGAGGGGTTGCGGCCAAGCCCCCACCCCCATCCTTGCAGGTTTCCACACATACACCTGCAGCCGTGCCCCACAAAAATGCCTGCACTTATTCCAATCCACACGCATTTGCTTCACGCTAATGTTAGATGTTACGATGTCTAATGGAGTAATTAAAAGGTGAAAAGGCCAGTATGAATGTGTTGGAAGTGGGCGAGGGACGGCAGCATACGTAATGACGACAGCGTAGGTAAGGTTGCGTCCATTCATGAGCTGGGCAAGGTGCGGTGTTGCCTCCGCTTGGTTCCTTTGTATGTCGTGCACATTCATTCATTATTTTTGTTATTTGTTTCCTGGATGGCTTTATAACAGTCCCATGCTTCATTCAACGATGCGAAGAATCTTTTGTAAGGAAATTAAACCGATCAGATGCAAGCAGTCGAGCATATATTAGCATTTGGACGTCTGAAAGAGCAACATTGGCAGAGTGAGCCAAATACGGTGGTCAGACGGAGACGGCCCGTGCGAGGCTAGGGCGGGCCGGCAGTGTACAGCTTTGTGTGGAGGCGGGGTTAATGAGTGTGTGTGTGTGTGTGTGTCTGTGTCTGTGTCTGTGTGTGTATGTGACTGACTGACTGACTGACTGTGACGGATTGTGACTGAGACAGACTGCAAGACAGGCTGGAATGCAACTAATGAACACTGAAATCACCGAAATTAGGCATAGAGATAATTGATAAGCTACTAGAATCGTAATTTTGTTTCTAAATAGAAAAACAATATAGTAAACTCATAAACTATAAATCGAAAACTTTTCGACCTGCCGTGTCACTGGCATGCGATGGGGAGCTTTCGAACGCAGCACCTGGTCCCCGTCGAATAGCGAGGGCGGTGCTGCTCGGAGTGAAGATGCTTCGGCGGAGGAGCTGGAAGTTGAATTCAGTTGCAAGTCGAATCCTAATTATCTTCACTCTTGTTTTTTCATCTGGTGATTCTCGTAAGACATACTACACATCGCCAATAATTTAATTTAAATAGTTTGCCATGTGTGTTGTTTAAAAGCATAT